TGCTTCACACGCAGAAGGCCGCGGTTCGATCCCGGCCGGAATCATATAATTAAATCCTCTATATTTATTCAAATCCAATGAAGATTTTTGGTGGTTTATTGACTGTCGGTGCAATCTCACGATGAATCATACATCGAAGTCTTCAATTTTTATTCTAAGCTTTTATTAAATATTGGCGATGCGTGCTGCTAATGCGTTTTATTTTTGTAGATTCCGTGGTGTTGTGGTTATCACATCTGCTTAAACCGCAGAAGGCCGCCGGTTCAATCCCGACCGGAATCATCTAATGCAATCCTCTATATTTATTCAAATTCAATGAAGGCTTTTGGTGGTTTGTTGACTGTCGGTGCAATCTCACGATGAATCATACATCGAAGTCTTCAATATTTATTCTAAGCATTTATTGAATATTAGCGATGCGTGCTGCAAATGCGTTTTATTTTTGCAGGTTCATCGGCGCAGCATACGTACGATGAATCATACTTCAAAGTCTTCAATATTTATCCTAAGCTTTTATTAAATATTGGCGATGCCTGCTGCAAATGCGTTTTATTTTTGTATGTTCCGTGGTGTAGTAGTTATCACATCTGCTTTGCGCGCAGAAGGCCGCCTGTTCGGTCCCGGCCGGAATCATCTAATAAAATCCTCTAAATTTATCAGAACGAATAAAGGGTCTTGGTGCTTTATTGATTGTCGGTGCAATCTCATGATGAATCTTACATCGATGTCCTCAATATTGCTGCAAATGCGTTTTATTTTTGTAGGTTTCGTGTTGTAGTGGTTATCACATCTGCTTAACACGCAGAACGCCGCCGATTCGATCCCGGCCGGAATCATCTAATGAAATCCTATATATTTATTCAAAGCCAATAAAGGGTTTTGGTGGTTTATTGATTGTCGGTGCAATCCCATGATAAATCATACATCAAAGTACTCAATATTTATTCTAAGCTTTTATCAAATATTGGCGATGCGTGCTACAAATGCGTTTTATTTTGTAGGTTCCGTGGTGTAGTGGTTATCGCATCTGCTTCACACGCAGAAGGTCGCCGGTTCGATCCCGGCCGGAATCATGTAGTGAAATCCTCTGTATTTATTCAAAACCAATGAAGGGTTTTGGTGGTTTATTGATTGTCGATGCAATCCCATGATAAATCATACATCAAAGTTCTCAATATTTATTCTAAGCTTTTATTAAATATTGGCGATGCGTGCTGCAAATGCGTTTTATTTTTGTTGGTTCCGTGGTGTACTGGTTATCTCATCTGCTTAACACGCAGAACGCCGCCGGTTCAATCCCGGCCGGAATCATCTAATGAAATCCTACATATTTATTCAAAGCCAAAAAAGGGTTTTGGTGGTTAATTAATTGTCGTTGCAATACCATAATAAATTATACGCCGGTTCGATCCCGGTCGGAATCATGTAATGTAATACTCTTTATTTATTCAAAACCATTAAAGGCGTTTGGTGGTTTATTGACTGTCGGTGCAATCCCACGATGAATCATATATCGAAGTCACCAATATTTATTTTAAACTTTTATTAAATATTGGCGATGCGTGCTGCAAATGCGTTTTATTTTTGCAGGTTCCGTGGTGTAGTGGTTATCACATCTGCTTCACACGCAGAAGGCCGCCGGTTCGATCCCGGCCGGAATCATATAATGAAATCCTCTATATTAGTTCAAAACCAATGAAGATTTTTGGTGGTTTATTGACTGTCGGTGCAATCTCACGATGAATTATGCACCGAAGTCTTTAATATTTATTCTAAGCCTTTATTAAATATTGGCGATGCGTGCTGCAAATGCGTTTTGTTTTTGTAGGTTCCGTGGTGTATTGGTTAGCACATCTGCTTCACACGCAGAAGGCCGCCGGTTCGATCCCAGCCGGAATCACCTAATAAAGTCCTCTATATTTATCAAAACGAATAAAGGGTATTGGTGGTTTATTGATTGTCGGTGCAATCTCATAATGTCCTCAATATTGCTGCAAATAGGAGTTCGTGGGTTCCGTGGTGTAGCGGTTATCACATCTGCTTCACACGCAGAAGGCCGCTGGTTCGATCCCGGCCGGAATCATATAATGAAATCCTCTATATTAGTTCAAAACCAATAAAGATTTTTGGTGGTTTATTGACTGTCGGTGCAATCTCGCGATGAATCTTACACCGAAGTTTATTATTTATTCTAAGCCTTTATTGAATATTGGCGATGCGTGCTGCAAATGCGTTTTATTTTTGTAGGTTTCGTGGTGTAGTGGTTATCACATCTGATTTACACGCAGAAGGCCGCCGGTTCGATCCCGGCCGGAATCATCTAATGAAATCCTCTACATTTATTCAAAACCAATAAAGGGTTTTGGTGTTTATTGATTGTCGGTGCAATCTCATGATGTTTTCAATATTGCTGCAAATGGGTTTTATTTTTGTAGGTTCCGTGGTGTAGTGGTTATCACATCTGCTTTACACGCAGAAAGCCGCCGGTTCGATCCCGGCCGGAATCATCTAATGAAATCTTCTATATTTATTCAAATCCAATGAAGGCTTTTGGTGGTTTATTGACTGTCGGTGCAATCTCACGATAAATCATACATCGAAGTCTTCAATTTTTATTCTAAGCTTTTATTAAATATTGGCGATGCGTGCTGCAAATGCGTTTTATTTTTGTAGGTTCCGTGGTGTAGTGGTTATCACATCTGCTTTACGCGCAGAAGGCCGCCGATTCGATCCCGGCCGGAATCATCTAATGAAAGCCTGTACATTTATTCACAACGAATAAAGGGTTTTGGTGGTTTATTGATTGTCGGTGCAATCTCATGATGAATCTTACAGTGATGTTCTCAATATTGCTGCAAATAAGATTTATTTTTGTAGGTTCCATGGTGTAGGCCGCCTGTTCGATCCCG